AATCTATTTCACCTATTTAATAACTATGAACATTTTAAATGTGAGGATAAAATCTTGATTTTTTTCCTTTCTCTTGTCTCAATGCACATATATGTTGAGACAAATTATGTCAACATATTGTTGAAATTGGGAAGAACAGTATATGAAAAGAAAGGGGATAGGACCAAAACAGGGGAAGATCTAAATTATTGAAGATGAATTTGGATTTAGGTGAGCGGCTGCGATGTCCGATTCTTGACGTGATGATGATTATGGTAATGGCTGTGTTTTATGCTTTGTTAGTTTGCAAATTTGAGATCCTTTACTTACCCAAATAGGAACTGGTGGGGTCACCATGCTTTGACTAAATTATTGGATTTAGAGAATAAATTAAAGCATCGGAAAAGAGATTTGGAAGAACTGAAAGAAAAGCATAACTATTATTATTAATTAGAGATATAATTTTTTGTGTACGTTGAGCGATAAATTATATAATAAGATAAAGTTTTTATTCTTTTCAAAATTTTTTATTCATTTTAAAATTTAAATTTAAAATCTTTAATATAAAATTCAAAATTTTTAATTACTAAATCATCGCTATGAAACTATTATTTAAAAATATAACAATAAGTATGTATGTAGCTTCTATAAAAGCATTAAGTAATTTATTAACTAAGAAATTCATAAACTCTAAATTAATCTATCATAATAATTCTAAGTTGTATTACAAAAACTGACTCAATAACTATTAATGCAAATGTCCTAATTAATCTCTCTTAACGTCCTTAATATCCACTGAAACTCAAAGTGGTTTTATAAATATGAGTTTGCAAATATATCTCTGACGTGTATCTGCAATATTGTATGAAAAAATCTTGAAGGTAGAATATTTTGAAGCTAGAGGACATAAAAAATCTTAAAGGTATAGATCTATAATCCTCTACAAAGAACATATCTTGAAACGAAGAATATTTCATAGCTAGAATTTAAGAATCTCTAGAGGAAAGAAGGTGGCCAAAGTACTAGCAGAAACTAAACAGAAGTAGAACCAGTAGAAAATTGAAGCAAATTAGAAGAGGTAGAAGGAGAAATTGGAGAATTGCAGTTTAAGAAAATAACAAATGTTAACTAAGAGAATTAAAGGAATTGAAGAGAAGAAAATAAATGTGAGAGAAGCAGAAAATTTCGAAAAAACAAAATAGAGGTAAATTAAGAAACAGTTCAATTGAAGAATTAAAAAAAAAAAAATCATTGAAAACCATTATATTATAAGCATAATTTGAAATAAAAACTTAACACACCACCTCAACTAAACAGAGGGAGGCTATATGGCTCTAAATGACATAGTAGGCTTTTTTTTTTTTTTTTTTTACGAAAAAGAAAAAAAAAACCTAGACACAAATTGAAATAGACCATTAGAATTGTCGGAAGCTAAAAAAGTAAAAAAAAGAAAAGAAAAGAAAAAAGAAATTAGAACCTTATAGCTCGTTAGAGCTATAGAGATACCTAATACCATATAGAATAAATTAAAACATGTAAAAATAAATTGAAGGAAAGACGTAATTATTATTTTCAGTTATATAATAATCACTGTATAAATAACTTTTATATAGGTATGGGGTAACTGATTGACAAAGACTTATAAATTTTAAATTAATCTATCATAATAATTTCAAGATTTATTATCATAATTCAATGAATAATTATTAATGTATATCTTTTAATATCTCTCAATATTTTTCACAAAATTGTTATTAATTTAAAAAAGTGATAACAATTTAAATAATTAAATAATAATTTTTTATAATAAATAAAAAAATTTTAATTCAAATTACCTAACATATAAAAAGCTCAAATTAAGGGAAAGATGATGACTTAATTGTGCAGTTTAAGATTTAAAAAAAGAAAAAAAAGAGTACAGGCACTAACGACGAAGAGATGCAAAAGAAAAAAGACCATACACTTTTGCTCAAAAAAAAAAGAAAAGGATATATATATAGAGAGAGAAATAATATTTTATTTTTTGATTTGGATCACTCGCTATTTGAAAGCCTACTAAGCTACCAACTAATTCAGATTTGAGTCGGGCAGATCTAATGGAAAATAAAACTCTTTTTCACAAGTTTTAACAGATCTGTATTCTCAGAACTTGAAATCAAGACTTTCGATTAAATTAAAAAAGTTCTTTACCATCTTATCCACTCGTTTATGGGTAGGAATAATATTTTATAGATTGTCTTTTTAAATTTTTTTCAAAATTTATTTTTTAATTAATATTTTGAAAAATTAAATGTTAGATTAAAAATGTTATTTATATAGATTATATCTTAAATTATTTTAATAGTCTAATCATTTCATTGATTATAAGAAATTTAATATCATTAAATATATATTAGTAAATAAAATTTCTTTAGTTAAACAGTTATAAGTTTTAAATTAGCATAAAAATTAACATACATGATTTATATAAATAGAATTTTTAATTTAATAGTCGATTTTTAAATATATTAATTAGAATGTATGCTTTTAAACATATTTTTCAAAAAAGATTTAAGAGGATGACATGCAACAATACAATATCCATATATATATATATACACGTGTGGTAAAAAATGGAGAGATGAATTATTGAGATTTTATATAAATATGATATGTAAGATTCGTGTATAAATAAATTCCTACTCATATATATATATATATATATGAAATAATACATATCCACTTTACCTCTCAAAAATTATGAGAAAAATAACTCCATTGAAAAAAGTCTAAAATACCATTTTTTAAAGTATAAATTAGATTATTTTTTATCTTTTCTCATGATAGTTTATTGAAATGATATAGTTTTAGAATAATTTTTTCCTAATTTTTAAAAAATAAGACAGATAAACACAAATCTCATACATAAATACATACGAGAAGAGATCTATTTACATACAAATTTTACGCATTACACTTACATAAAATCTTAACAATTCATTTCTCCATTTTTAATGGTTAAGATTTATCATGACTTGTTAAATAAAAATAATAATTATCTTTAATAAATGTGAATAAATTTTAATTATTGAAAGTAGAGAGATAAATAATTGAGATTTTATGTATACT